TGCCCTCCCGGTTGGAGCTTCCTGCATCTTGCTGCTATAGAAGCTGGGTCTCAGGAGCTGCCACTCCATATGGCACCTGCGTGATGAGGGCTCCAGGGTCTCCATCTTCCTTTGCTCTGCTTACTCACTCAAGGAGGAATGGCAGGGAGTACGCAGGGGGGTAGACAAAAAGTTCCTCCTTCATTTTCACCCTGCTTCTTTTTTCTCAACATGGTGGAAGAGAAATTTTTTAAAAAATGTAGTTCTTCCTCCCATGCTTAAAAATAAATTCCAAGAGAGACAGATACTTTTACTCCCAAGTATAAAATTAAATATCCATTTTCGTCTTATCTAGAGTTTAAGTATCAGTTTGTACTCAGAGTGAGTTAATAAATGAGCACTTAGTTTCCACAATTCTTAGTAATAGTTCCAGTTTACAAGAAGCCTTAGTTGATCTGTTCCTTCAAGACCATGAGTTTTGCAGTAAACGAGTCTGTCTAATTGCATCACCACATTCTTACTAGACAAACGCAGCGGTGCAGGGTGGCGAAAGTACACCAGGCATGGGACACTCATGGTTTGGTTTGGCAGGTCCAGTGTTATTATTGTGTAATGTATTTTCAGTGTTTGGGTAGGGCATGAAGTCTTCCATTCGCCACAGCCCTGACCAGCTTTGACCACATTGTTTATATGCAGGTGTTTTGTGTCTATACCTTCTCTTCAAAGCAAGGAAATTAAAGTAACCCTATTAACTTCCTAGGAATGTCAGATATTTAATTCCCAGGTCTTTATGGGCCAATGCACTCAAGCGTTACAGTCCCTGGGCACTGCTAAGAGCTTATCATTACAGCCGCCTAACGGTCAGCAGAAAATGTTTCTCCAGGAAAAGACGCTTCCAGCATTGCCTTTGGGAGCCTCAGGGCCAGGGTTAGGGTGTGGAAAGTCAGGCATTTGCCTCAAGTGTGAAATTTAAGGCCACATCAAAACAATTAGTAATTCAGATAACTACTATTTTGATGCAATATTTGAAGAATCAAAATTAATGCAAAAATATCTATGATATGAAAAACACCAACATTTCAAATAGAGACAGGTTGCTGTGTGTTTTACAACCCTGACAGGGGGAGGGTTTCTGAGCATAGTGTGCCAGCAGACTGGGCAATGTGTGGCTGGCTATAGTCCTGGCTTTGATGGTAGAGCTTTTATTAACTTGTCCACTCAGCTCAGAACATAATATTTTAATAACTGTATAAAGAGTTGCACTTTTTTCTTCTATTTTAGGCTTCAATAAGTCCCTGGGGACTGGCAATGGGAACCATGAATTTCAAAGTCCTCTGTTTCTAATTCAGCAATCTGTATGAAAATGTCTACAAAATGTAAAGCAGTTTATGAAATAGTATGTGCAGCATGGGCCCATTTTTGTCTTAAATATACAGCTATATGTACATATGGCTATAGATAAATAGCTGAGTGGTATATGGGAAAGGAAGAAGGCAGAGAAGTAGACAGACTACATCAAGCTGTATCTCTAAATGTTAAAATGCTCAGTTCTGAATGGTAAACTGTGACCTATTTTCATTTTCTTTATTTATATTATCTACCTTTCTATAATGAAACAGCATTATTTGAGTAATTAAACAGTAAAATTATTTTAAGCTTCCTGTGACAATCTCATGTGCTGTCCTAGCCTGATCATATGCGATGTTAGGTTAACTTGAAACAGTTTTCTTTGTATGGAGGCATCTCGCTTCATCAAAAAAGTACCATCTGCAACACTAAACATGCTGTAATTACCAACAGTGACACATAGCTTTAAAAAAACAAATCAGGTAACCAATCTGCTGGAAAATGTATATTCAAAATGTTCTTGCCACTTTAAGAGAATTCTCCCAAGAGCATTTAGCGACTCATAATTCTCATAGCTATAATCTTATCCTAATCCCCAATGACTGTGAATTTCTTTCCAGGAAGAAAGGACAAAATTGCAATTATATAGGAGCAAATATGTGAGTGAAAGAGGTGGTGGGTGTGGATGCAGGCCTTGCCTACATGATAGGCAGGCATGAATTTTAATCCCCTAGGAAAAAAGTTAAGTGAGTTTTTTTTTTTTAATGAAGAAAGCCCACATTTCTAATGTTCATTAACTAACATTTAGCTAGAAGGGCCACCCGTCATTAAATTATTTTTATAGGCAGCTTAGTAGAAGCTGTGTTTCCATGACAACAGATAATGTATGGAAAGGTAAAAAAAAAAGTTAATGGAATTTGTGGTGATCTTAATAATGTTCTATGGAAATCATTCATTAATCTGATTTTTCTGTTGCTTAGGCTTCCATGCCAGCTGCAGAACAGACTTTCCTGGGGCTGGCTGATGTTGGAAATAATGCATTTTTGATACCCCAAAAGTGCCTCTTCCATAGGGAGTTGAAACCAAGAATTTGATAATCCCTCCCTGTTCTCCTGTAAACTGAATATGGAATGCGACCATTGTAAAAGACCATTAAATCCCCTCAAACTGACCAAGGAAAGTGAAGGATTGGTCAGAGCAGTAGACACAAGCTTGTCATTATTTTCTTCCAAAAACTACATTAGCAGATTTGCTCATGAATTAAATGTCTTGAGGAAAAGAGGGATCAGGCTGCTTTCTAAATTTCTGACTTAGGCCCATGTGTGGATAATGGTGGACAAGATTGAAGGATGAGCAAAGTGTGAATGGGGTTATGGAAATTGTATTACACTGTGACTGAACATTTTATACCCAAATAATACAACTACCAAAAGACTTTACTTTATGCGGACAGGGCCACGATTTTGTGATCAATGGGACATTGGGGCTGATGCCTAGAATATAGTCTAATTACTATTTGAAAAAAAACCACCTGTCAATATTGAGGCCTCTTTTCCTTACCCTCAGATTAGTTTTAATTAAAAAAAAGTAATCCAGATGTAGATAATTTAGAATCAACAAATTATGTTGTTTTCCAAATAGTATTAGGAATCTATTTGCTTCTATGTCTTGATATATGCTTCCCAGTACCACCCCTGATTTTGTGTGTATTATATATAAGTTTGGGTCACATTGTTTTGTATCATTGTGAGGGCTGCAATTATCCTTGATACATCTTTTAGGATTATTAGGAGTCTGACTCCTCAAGACTTTATATACCAAACAAAAATATATATTAATAAGTAAAAAACAAAATTCCAATTCTGACATAACAAGACCATTAAACAGTCTGTATTAATACAGACTTAAAGTATCATGTGCTATTGTTTTCAATATGACTATGGATTCAGTGGAAGGTTAGAATTATACTTTGAAGAAGATGTTGAACTGTGCTAAGTCATACGTACGTTGCTTTGAGGTATAGATATGGGAGAGGAAGCATTTATTTTACCAAAACAAAGTGAGGTAAAACAGAATTCCTAAAGCAATATACTGTTGATATGGCTCCAAACCATGGATGACCACTTCCAATACTTTATCCCATGCCTGATGAGACCCTAATCAGATCACAACTGAGTCCCAGATACTTGCTCTGAAGTCTGCTGTGGAAATCACACCAACTCAGAATGAAGTCAAAACTCTTCAATGGTTTTAATGTTAGCGATGTCTTCTGACCCTTTTCTTTGTGGTTATTTCTCCCAATGAAAATTTCTACTCAGTAGTACCAGTGACAAGGAAAACCCCTTCGTCCAGCGAGGATTCATTCTTCTTGTGTTTTCCCTCAAACACACAAGTTGAGTAGCATTATCAAGGGGTAGGATCAGTTATATGCATAACCTTCATTATCGTGAAGGCTTTGACACAATTTTCTTTTCCTTGCTAGGACATTCTGAGTGCAGATGACTGTAGGAAGCTGAAGGGAGTGCACTGGCCATGCTTGTCCATAGGAGGGAACTCAGGGTCAGGGTAGAGTATGACTTATTAAGAATTTGTGCCAGGATTCATTTAGGAAATTTAGGGGGAAAAGAACAGCACCAGATATTATGAGACTTATGGACATTGCTGTTTCTCATAGGAGTCACTTACTTTCTAAGACAGAGTATTTAGAAAACAGGAACCTGAAGGAAATTTGAAAAGGATAGAAGTGCTAAATGCATGCCTTTTCTTTATATACAGTCGCCATTGGCAGGAACAATGATTATAACTAATCAAGAGCCTGACAGCTGCTTTGTATGGGCATAATAAGTTCATAAGCTGCAAAACATAGAATGGACACAGAAGTTCATAAGCTGAAAAACATAGAATGGACCATATCAATACATGGCTTAAAATAAATCATCTAAACAAAAGCCTGGGTTTTTCTAAGAGTTACGCATGTCTCTATAATACTGAACTTAGCAAAACCTAGAATAACCTTATATTGGATACTTCTGAGTCATGAAAATACTCTGAGATACCTTTTAGTAAGAGCAAGTCTTAGTGACTGTCATGGATTGAATTTTGCCCCTCGTTCCCAAATTCTTATGTTGAAATCCTAACTGGCAGTACCTAAGAGCGTGACCTTACTTGGAGATTGGGTCTTGGCAGAGGTGATAAAATTAAGATGGGGTCATTGGCACAGGTCCTGATCCAGTATGACTGTGTCCTTGTAGAAAGGGCGAATTTGGACGTAGAGATAACCATAGACGATGTGGAGAGATGCAGGGAGAAGATGGCCATGTTAAGCCAAGGAGAGAGGTCTGGAACCTATCCTTCTCTCAGAGCCCTCAGAAGGAACCAAACCGTTGACACCTTGATCTTGGATTTCAAGTCTCCAGAACCGTGAAAAAATAAATATCTGTTGTGTAAGCCACCCTGCGTTAGGGACTTTGTTACAGTAGCCCTGGCAAGCTCACACAGCACTCCACGACCTCCTCCAGGCGGGCCACTGGTCCTACCGGGGGCCTTAGGCCCCTTCTTTCTCATCAGGGTCTTTGGTGTCAGGCTGGAAGGCCAGGAAGATGATGAAATGTAAGACCCCAATATATCAAACCAGTGGATGAGAAGGTGGAACAGAAACACAGAGCCATTGGGGGTTGATTACTCTCGTGATTTATTATTATTCAGATTGAAAAAGGAGCCTTAGAGCCGCAAGTTACGCTAATTGGCACATTTGCTTTATTTATTTATTTTCAAAACAAAGTGGATTTTAGATTTTTTTTCCTTTTTGTTCATTCCATCACATTGAAAGGAGGAAAAGAAAAATGGTTTTGAATTCACTTGGTATTTTTGACTCCTCGGATGAATGGAACATTGCACACACACTTGGAACAGAGAGATAGAGAGGAAAGTGGACTCCCACAGGGCCACACGCACCAGATCAAAAAACTTGGATACAGTGCAAGAATTTCCCAAAATGATTGGATCATCATTACCAAAAACTCGCCATAACAACACCAAGAAACAAAAAATGTTTAAGCCACACTGTTTGACTTGGGGTCTTTCCTGCTTTTTTTTTTTTTTTAAATGTTTGCCACACAGAGAGAAAGAGGGCTGGCGGGTGGGAGAGGACGGACTCACAGACGTGAGCAGGACAGGAAGGGAGACTTCAGAGGGGAGCTGAGAAGAGGGTGGGAGAGACAGGGCTCAGGAGAGGGGAGGGTGGGGATGTGGAAAGCCATTTCTTAGAGTTCAGGCATGTTCTTGGTCAGCCTCCCGTTCTTCTCCTTGACCCTCATCCTGCCGGGCACTTCCCTTAGGTTTGGTTTCATCTACAGCTTCTGAGGAAGAAAACAAGATGGGGGTTGGGGGAGAAAGGTAGTTAGTATTTTCTCTCATCTGTTCATATGATTGTGAGATGCATTTCATCTTTTCATACCACTTCATGAGAGACTTAAGGTTAAGAGGCACTATTGCTAGTCCAGTGATATAGTTTCCAAGTTCAGAGGAGTTTACCTCCAGGAGGCTGTTCAGTAACACATGTGGAAGATCTCAAGAACAAAGTTATAATATTGGGGGCAAAGAGTCCACTAAACATAAATCACATAGTCTTTAATCTCTCAGCCTTACAATCAAGGTATCCATATGCAGGCTTTTGCTATAGGGACTCAGCAACAGTCTCCTTACCTTTTACATCAATGTCAGACTAGTTGTGACAGAGACTTTATGTGGATCATTGAACAGCCATTCTAACTCTCTCACCTCTTATTTCCAGTATTACAAAGACTAAAAAGTGAAATATCTCAATTTTCAGCTCCCCTTGGAGCTAGAGGCATCCATGTAACAATGTAACACAGTGAAATGGCCCACTAGATACAGGATTCCTGGGGAGGACTCCAGAGGAGGTCCTGCGGACTTTCTTCTATTCCTGATGACTAAGGCGTCAAACAGCACCTAGTAGGGTAGCAGCCATCTTGTGACCATGAGGACAAGAACTATCACTAAGGATGGTGGAGCAGAAAAATAGAGGAAAAAACCCTGCTATTGAGTGACTATACCACTCCTGGACACCTTTTCCTCAGACTTTTTCTTATTATGTGAGAAAATTACTAATGTCTTTAAACCATCGTAGTAGTTTTTAGTTTCTTGCACTCAGAAACAGTCCAACTGACTACACTTATTCATGAACAAGGTGCTTTGCTTACCAAGGAAGACTTGGCATCTTTGTAAAGAGTCTTCAGGTAGCCGGTGACTTTTCTAATAACTCTCTGCCTGGTTTCCGGATAGAACTCGGACAACTGATTTCACACCACAGATAGTTTACTAATTTGCCAGCCAGTGGAAACAAGATTCATTTTTCCTGAAATCACCTGTAATATGAACCTAAACTCCCTGTGTCTGGAATTCTGAAGTCTACGCCCTGGTTCAGTGTTTTGCTAGGAAAACTCGTAAGACTCAGCATATAGTCCTATTCATGGCTATGACTTACTACAGTGAAAGGATACAAAGAAAAATCAGCAGTGGGAAAAGCTGCATGGGGTAAAGTTCAGAGGAAACCAGGCACAATCTTCCAAGAGTCCGCTCCCCATGGAGTCATACAAGATGTGCTTAATTCCTCCAGCAGTGAGTTGTGACATGTATGAGATGTCATCTACCAGGGAAGCTCCCTGAGCTTACAGGTCCAGAGTTTTTGGAGGCTGGTCATGTATGTACCCTCTCCCTACCAGGTACCAAATCCAGACTCCCAGAAGGAACAAAGATATCCAGCATAAACCACGTCATTTGCTAACAGAGTTTAGGCACAGTTAGTACTTTCAGTTAGGTAAAAGTGAGAACCCTCTCAAAATCCAAGTTCCCAGATACCAGTCAAAGGTTGGCTTCACAAGCTGCCTTTGTAAGAATGGAGAGATACTGAGACTAGAGAAATGAGGGCCTTTTAGGAGACCACTACAAGAACTCATATAAATGTGCCTCTTTCAAGTAGGTCAGCTATATATTTATATTCAGATAAAGCTCAATATTTCTATCCACTGCTGGAAATATATTTGTGGGATTCCTTCTTTGGAACAGCTATCTAATAACATTCTTTTAAGTCTCTTCAGTAGCAGAAGATGCTCATCTCCTTGAAAATAGATTTGGATTTTAGCATCAAATGAGGCTGGCCTGGTAAATAAGGTAGCAGCTATGATGGATAATTTTATCTTACTATGACTCATTTTTGACTAAAGTTTTTAAGTTTGATTTATTTGGGGGGTTTGTAACTGTAAGTTATTTCCAGATGCAGTTATTCTAGTAAAGCCACCTACTACTACTCACAGAGGTATTTTAAGGCCATAGCCTTTCAAGGTTGCCATTATTTACACTTAAAGAACCAGGACACCAATCATATTTTCCAGGAAACATTTGGAGATGAAAATTAACTCAGTTCTGATCATGGTGATACTCTATGCACCAGGGCTGCTCCTCATGGATTGCAGAACTTTGATACACTAACAAGTCATTTAAGTTTCTTCCAGAAAAATGCTTTCAGATTTATTTCAACATGATCCTATTACAGCAATTTGGAATTCTTCCAGTGAATTCACTTACTTCCTTAGCCCTGCCCAAACCTTTGAATACCACAGCTATGCAAGAAACAATGTATTTATTTAGTGCTCTCTTCAAAGTGCAAGAAAAAAAGTCACAATATTGATTTAAACTGCTCAGAAGTACATAGAAGGATCAGTTGACCAACAAGAGAAGACCTCAAACCTTTCTCTCTAAAATAAAAACTTGAGAGCTATTATATAGATTAGAGGGAGCTTAGGAAAATCAAAAGAAGAGGTGTAAGTAGGATGGGTAAAATGAGAAGAATTGTCTATTTGTGGAATAAGGGAACAAGATTCAAAAAGGAGAAACAAAAGAACAAAGATTCCAGTAATTCTGGGAAGCAGCCACACTTCCTGCTCCCTGTTGGAGTCAAATCAGGTTAAATCCTCCCAAGTCCCCCACTTTCTCTCATCATCCTTTGCCTGGGCCTAGGAGAAAAGGTGAAACTTGGCCCACGTCTGTTTATTGTAACAGGAGGTTGCAGCTGTCTAGTCCATATTAAAAGAGTTTCAATATCTACATATTTGTTCCTTCAAATGCTATAAAGTATTTGAAATGTAATTTATTTATTAATCTATTTGTTCAATAAATTGTTATTGAGCACCTGCAACGCACCAGGCATTCTTCTAGGTATTGAAGCAAACATCCTTGCTCTCATTAGGCTTTTAATGACATACCTTTAACAGACAAGGAAATCCACAACCACAGAATGTGAGCATGAGAGGACTCTCTGAGATTATTCAGTCACTAGATCATAACTCTTCAAAGGTGACAATATCCATTTCTGCTCAACTTTGAACCCCTATGTCCAGCACAGAACCCAGTGTAAGGGAGGCTCTCCATAAATATTTAGTGAATGAAAGAATGAATGGACAGCCTCATTTTATAGGTGAGAAAACTGAAGGCCAGGTACATAAGGATATTTTTCCTAGAATCATATGGTTTTCTCACAACCAAGCCAGCACTAAAACCTTGGTCTTCTACTAGTCCCGATATACTTTCCCAGTGTCTATTTCAACCAGAGGAGGTCAAGGTCCAATCCATGTTATCAGCTCAGCACTAGCAAATAAGTAGCCAAGTCCATAGGCCTTTAGTGACCTACAAAATTTCTGAGATTAAAAGCAAATTGTTGACTCCAAAATGTAAAAGAAAAAACCATAAAATTAACACTGATGAAGTTCAATTAGATCCCTAGAAAAGGGAACATATCAATCAGCTGGAACTCAATTAAGCTGAACATGTACAATTACATAAACATTATATTTTACATGAGAGTAATTTATTTGTTTGATATTATTGGATAATGAGCAAGGGTATCATCTTTGTGTTAGATGAAGGGATGACTAGTTAGTGGAAATAAAATGTGTCAAGTCTCTGGAATCAATGAATTTTTATAGGCCACCAAGAAATAATGGGAAGAAAAATTGTGGAGGGAAGAAATAATCTAAAGTAATGATCTTTCACAATCACAAAAGTGAGGCAAGCTAAAAACCCATAATAATATTTGCAAAAATTTTATTTTTACAAAAAAAAATCCTTTGTAAATAAAGGACACAGCAATCAGATGTGGACTACATGACTACTCTAGCTAGATCCACTTTGATGGAAGACTGTATGAGACTGAGAACAGTTTTAACCTTAGACAAAGGGGAGCTTACTGCAACTAGAATCTAAATGATATATAAATGGGTCCATTGAGCCTGAATGAAAAAGAAAACTTCTGGATATTGCTAACATGTTCTTACTCTGACTGATATTAACTCTAGACAAGTCGCTGTAGTTAATAAATCATGTTGACCATATAGTTGTAGATCAACATTTTCTTATCTGCTATATTCTTATGCCTCACTGCCTGGAGAAAAAGCCACAAATTATGACTTTCCTGATGCCTTGTATAAAGGATTTCACTATAGCTAACATATTTGGGTTCTTGGCTATATGCTCACAACAATTCTAAGCATACTTGTATCATTTCATCTCATCTTCACAGCTATTTTAATGATCCCATTTTACAGCTGGAGAAGCAGAGGCACAGTAAGATGAAGTAACTTACTTAAGGACACACTGTTTGTCAATATGGTAGCAGTGAATTTCAGCCTAATGTAGAGCCATATGCACAGCTTCGGTTTTAGATTGCCCTCCCACCCTGACCTTCACCCAAGAAGGATGCATGGGCTCAGAACACAAGAACAGAAAGTCCGTGGGTGTGTAGGCCTGGAGCCTGCAAAGCCTAAAAACTGGTCTTGGTAAATGCAGCTCAGAATGGAGGGAAGAACCTTGATTAGTCTTGAGTAATATGAAATCTGGTCTTGGTACTTAGTGGCACTAATTACATATTTGCACATGCTAGAGATAAGTTAATATGCAATCTTTAGTATTTTCTGCAAAAACTTTGATCATCATTGGTGACTGTCAAAGATAGATGAATGGCTGAGGCCAGCTGGTCACTCCAATTACCATGATCCAATTAGGGTAAATAATCACATTCCCTGTCTAGAGGATCAACCTCCCTCTGAGAAAGTTACTGCTTAAGAAGAGGCTGTAGAAGCCAAAGATTGAACTGAGCTTTTCAGTACCAAGTGACACAGAGCAACTGAGGCAGCAAATGGGCCTGGAGTTGGCAAATGAGGAAAACCTGGAGTTGCTGATTTGAGAGTTGTAATTCATCAAGTTCAAGAGTAGAGAGACTTTTTTTTTTTCAGGTTAGCTCTGAATAGTATTTTTGCTTATAGTAAACATGGAAACCTAATAC